AAGTTGGAGCGGTGGCTGAAGTAGACAAAGTTAATATGGGAGGGGGTGAGCAGCTTGTGGAGTAGTTATTGTGCATTTATCGTTATCGAGGTGAACTGCTCCATATACCGTGATATTGATTTGAGGCCATATATGCCCAGCCTTAGACAGACTGTAACATTTTTCAGGTCAAGTAAGAAGTGAAGTTTTCCAAAGTGAGGGTTTTGATGTGAATCTGGGGCTGGTTTCTTGAAATGTTCTCAAACAGCAACAGAGAGGGCTGCAGAGTCAGCCACAGAGAACTGGAGCAGTGTCAAAACTCTGTTTTTGTGAAAGAAACTGAAAACATGTCAGCATGATCAGCCTTGCAGAGAAGTACTACAGCTGTACCTCTTCACCTCTCTGCTCTGTGTTGAGCAGAAAATGCTTTGTATCACATCGGTTTAGCTTGATGAATACAGACTGTCACTCTCACTCGCTCAGTTTTCTTTCTTTTTCCAACATGCATGTTCAAATTATCTCTCTTTATCATTCAGCACATTGATAATGGATCCCCTGACAACCTTCGGTGAAGCTCTGTTCGTTGTAGATAATACACTAGCTGTTCTGTGATGCACAATAGATCCTGAACACAGCTATCCTTACTCACATAATCACACACACACACACACACACACACACACACCCCACGCCACACCTTATTCTCCTCCATTGCACGCTCACACTCAATTGAACCTGTCATCTTCTCTTTGGTCCCCTAATGGCTGTCTACTCCTGGAGAGCTATTAGAGAACAGGACATGTTATTGGAAATCAAAGAGGATTTGGAGTCCAGGGCGTCCTCCTGCGGGGGGAAAGCACCCAGCAGAGGTCAACTTGTTACAAAAACACACTCAGTCAACCCTGACCGCTCAGATGGATTGCTTCTGAGCAAATCTCTGTTTCCATCAGTGCCATGGCCAGTCCAGTTACTTCAGACGGACTCTTGAGCCGTGATTGTTCAGAACTGATAGAATGGAGATGTATTACCAAGCATTTCTAAAAGATACTGTAGGGGCATGACTGTTATTTCTAATTAAATCAGACTCTTTTTAATTTCTTTCATATTTTACTTCAGGTTTAATCTACCGTGCCGGATTGGGAGAGACTATAAATTGTTTTTATGAGGAGCAGATAAGCCCTCAAGAATGTCTTGTGCTGGGAAAAGAGAACTGCATGTTAGCGCAGTTGCATTTCCTTTTTTTCCTCAGGGGGATTTACTGCGCTTTCTTGCGGTGTCCGTGGTTTATAATTCCGATCACATTTCTGATCATCTGATTCCTCAGATAACAAGCAAACAAAGTCAACGCTGGAGTGATTCTTTCTGCTCGTTAGCTCGCCCTGAAATTTGTATTAAAACAACAAACATCATCTTCAAGAGCAAACATGATTGGAATACCTGACGGAAATATCCCTCAATCCTAACCTTCAGGGAATACTTCAAACAAGTTAGTAAATTTGAAGCACATGCTCGAGTACAACGGTGCTGTTATGCATTAGATTTTAATATAATTGAAAAGAGGAACAACAACCTGAGATTATTTTGAACAAATAGAGAGTAAAAAAACTTGAGAGTGTTTTGTTCCAATGATAAAGGGATTTCATTAACAATAATCTGGTCTAATGAGATCTGATTATAAGAAACAGTCTTGAATTCTCCTTTTTGTCTGACTGGCATGGAAAAATGCAGGACAGATGCACTTTTTCTCCTTTGAATAATTAAAGGGTTTTATCAAGTGAGACAAATGTATTAAATGAAGAAATAATGTGGGAGTAAAAGACATTTAAAGAAAGGCTCTGTTGCTTATATTCTCACTGTGGTTCTATCCAGTAATTATTACAGCTGTCTTTGAGTGCAAACAGAAAATAAAAAATGTATTAAAAGAATCTCTGAAAACACTGCGCACTGTAGGGTTAAAGTCATTACCAAGTCAAATGACTGCTGACAGAAAGTTACTGCTCTTTTTGTTGTGATTTTTCAACCTAATCTCTTGTCGTGGCAATTTGGCACGTTCACAGTAGCAGAGAATCCTTTTCAAACCATCTGACATGGATTTTTTTCCTTAAACTTATTAACACATAACATAGAAATAATCAGCACTTGCCCAAAATTACAACAACCCTAATTATAGAACAAAAGCTCTTTTGCAGCCACTGTGCTTTGAGCTCTCCCTGACCTCAGCAGTCCCTAACCCATTTCTCTAGAAGCCTCATCCACTGTTGCCATGCTACAAAGTTTGGGGAACAGGAAGTTAAACAGCGAATGACTATTAGAACGACTCATTACATATAAAGGCTATATATTGTGCACCCTGACCTGAAAGTTTTGAAAGGGATTTTTCTGTTTTACATACCTTCTTAAGGGATTCAAATAATGGCGATTCACAGTTTTAGCAAATCTTGTAGCATCCCTTGATTTTGGTCTGTCATTGTGAACAAGCCATTCAGAGCAGTGTCCTGTCACATTTCTTGAGATTATCCCAACAGACACATACCGCACAATTTGAAACTTTGTCCTCATTTAGTATTGACATTACACACATAACTTTGTCTGTAAAACATGAAAAAAAAGATAAAGTTTTAGTAATGGGTCTAAATGAAGCATTTGCCAAGCACTTCAAGAATAAGAGAATTTCCGATATTTTTATTTACATAAATCAAAAACATCAGCTGGTTCATCATCTAAAAGCAGCAGAATTCAGGTATCACTTTTGATTTACAAGTATTATGTAAAGGTTGTTTTCCCCACATGCATCTGTCCAAGTTTCAAGCCTCACGCAAAGTGAGAGCTAAAATGTCTGTGTGTCAGCACCACTGTGTGGTGTCTAAGCTGAAAACAACACCAGACCCCCACTGCAGCCTGGACTGTGGGAGCGTGGATGTACATTAAAAGCCGGGGCTTACAAAAGCAGTACAGAGCAATTGATCTGAGCTGTGTGCAAAGGCAGGACTTTGGGGAAATCAGAAGCTTCATTAAAGTTTCATATTGTATTTCGGTACACTTGCAGTTTCATCTTGTGGTTCTATTTACTTAAGGGCCCAAACAGAGGAAAGTTAGACTCACTGTGGGGGCTTGGGTATAAAAGCTGTAAAAACACAACTATCATGTGAAGAAAGGCTGTTAAAGTGTTGTCATTGTGTAGCCATGGTCTGAGTAAAGGGCTTAAAGAAAATACAGCCACACCAGCAGAACAGTAGACTAAAGCTAGTCATGGTTTCCAATTTCTGCTACTGATATATGCTGTCACAATCCTTGACTGTATATGAACCTACATGGAGGACCTCACAGTGCTCTTCTATTTACAGATAGGTGACATATTGTGGAATCTACCTGTCTGTATCCGCTTCTGTCAGTGTCAACCTGTCATTTTCCACTTGCTGCACATTCACCACAGTGCCACCAAGCAGACAGAGTGACAGCAGATAGTCCGAGTCACTCTCCCTCTCTGACATACAGCGTGGCAGCATTCGTCAGCTTGGATTCACCCAGTGCTGCAAATGATCTGTGAAAGTTACATAAAAATTCTCCAACAGTCCACACAAATACACACTAGCTGAGATGCGCATGTTGACTAATGGAAACAGACAAAGGTGCCTGCTCTTTTGCCAGATCTCTGTCACACTTACATGCACACGTGGCAGGACCAGGAGGCACATATCTTTGATAGCGGTCCAGGTTTGATGGCCTGTTTGCTGGCAGAGGCTTTTAGAGAGACTGCTGGTACCTCACTGTCCGCTTCCCTGCTGGGCCTTTTGTCATAAGCTGCGGGTTGTCGTTTTATAAATGAGGGTGTCCACGGGGAGATGAAAGGAGTGGAAACAGGTTAGTACTTCCACAAAGAGCAGAGCTGAATCACGGAGAAAGTCTCAGATAACAGGAGCACAAAACAGACTTTAGTGCATTATAGTAAGCAACTTAGCTGGGTTATACACAACATGTGAAGCTTGATTGTAACAGCTATATATTTGGAGGGTCTGATTCAATATCAGTTTTGTACAAAGACTTGTAAAGGGTCAGTTAAATGTCAGTAAAATATTTTAAAAAAATACTTGCTGATTAGCAGCAACAGTATGACCACCTGCCAGACATTGTGTAGGCTCCCCTTCAACTGGATAAAGAACAAAATACCCAAACTTCACGACTTTTTTTAGGGCAACACTTTCTAGCAGACCCCTCTGATGTGGCATGATGTGGCCTTTATAGATCTGACTCAATGGAACTAAGATCTGGTGACTTTGGGGACTAAGTCAACACCTTTGAACTGATTTCATGTTCCTCTACTCCGCCTTCTTCCATTGCTTGGTTTAGTTCTGCTGCTCTTTTGCCCATTTTCTACAATTTTGGTCATGAATATGGGTCAGTGTGGGCATGGACTAAAGCTACTCAACCTCATACAGAACAGACTGTGAACACGCACTGTGTGTTTTGACACTGCTCTATCAGGGTCTGTATGAACTTCTGTTAGATCAGCCTTCACTCCTCATGTGCATCAGTGAACCTTGGCTGCACATGGTCCCGTTTCTGGTTTATAATAATCATAATAACTTTATTTTTATAGCATTTTTAAAAACAGAAGTTTAAAAAGTGCTTTGACTTAGATTCGTTTCTAGTTTGCTTGTAGTCCTCCCTTGGACCATTTTGGTTTCATTCATTTTGGAACATGCTAGAGAGGAGATTCAATTGAGGCTAAATCTACTCTTATGTCTTATTATCTATTCTGTTTAAATTTAGGATTAAGAAAAAAATATCATATCTATATCTATATACACTAGAGCTCCATTACATTCCCACGTGAAATCTTGTCAGTCAGATAGGGTTTTGGGATTTGGGTGGGACATTAGGTTAGGCAAAGTGCTGTGAGAAGACAGACTAGCAGCAGACTAGCCAAAGTAGCACACTTTGTGATCAACTAATTTTATCAGCTATGTGTAAAGTTGGCAGAATCAATTATCATAGTGGCTTAAGGCTTAGATCACCCCTCTTGAGATCAAGCTTGACTTACCCCTCTTTTACAGGTGTAAAAGAGGGGTAAGTCAAGCTTGATCTAGAAAAAGCCTCAGTTTTTAGTCTCAGTTATCTGGAGCAGAAAACCCAGAGTTTCCGTCATACCAGGGTCAACAAACTCACAAATAAAACTTAATTGGTTTCTACAGGATTCATGAACACCCACGAGATTTGCAGTTTTCTTATATATTCTGATCTAGTTGCCATGACAATTTGTTTGTTGTTAAAGTGGTTTGCATCCTTATCCACATACTTACTTTTTTCTCCAGCTCCCAACTTGTCACCTTCAAGGACAAAATGTTCTTCTTATTTAGCCCAGCCATTCAAAATGATCAAGGTTATTCCTGTCTGTGGTCGTGTTGTTAAGGCTGACTGGTGTAGGGCTACCTTCACAATCAAAACCGATTTTATAAAACAATCATTTACAGTGGATCTAGATTGAAACTCTCTTTTCCTGTGCAGTTCAGAACAATTACATAAGAGGGTCATTGTGAGGTCTGATCTATTTCATGCACATATTCATTACATATTGCAGAGTATTTCAGCAGTCAGAGAACTGAGATGTATGAATGACAAAGAAAAACGATGTTAAAGCCTGTCGGCAAATCTAAAAAATCGAGCCTTGATTTTATGTTGTTGACCTAAAGTGAAGATCATTTGAGTGAACATCTGTAGTCGAGTGTTTGGATTGTAGTTTTAGTGTCATACTGTCTCTGACTCATCCTTCTTTCTGGTGATGTCAGTCAAAGTTTCTACACACTTTAAAGCTTCAAAGCATGCCAGATAGTTTTTCTCACTCTGTGAATGGGTAAATGTTTCCACGACCCTGTGACTTGACTTTCAAAGAAAGCTGCAATCTCATGCAATGCTTGTGTCTTTCTTTCTTTCGTCTTTCTTTTTTCTTCTGGGGTACAAAACCCACCTGAATGAGTTCAAGTTTCCTCTTAGTGTTTGTGTTCCAGTCTTTTTCCCAGAGCTTTTACCTTTGAACTGAAGAAGTGCCTGAGCCTCTGTGTGTGTGTGACAGCTGTGCTGGTTTTCAACAGCACTCTCAAAGATCTTAACAAAAAACACTCAAAATACAAATTCATCCCCCTGTCCTCCGCTCAGCGGGCTCTTTTCCCATTGCTCCATGCCTTGTTGAAGGACAGGAGGAGAAAACATAAAAGAGAAGGTAAGAGGAAAGAAGAGAAAGAAAATGGAAGGCAGGGAAAGGGGTGAAAAGGCTACACTGGTGTTGGCAGAAATTGTTTCCATGACGTTTGAAGTCCGCCACAGTCCAATTAGGCGGCAAGGAATCAGAATTACACACACTGACTTTACACTCTGGCCTGTGAGAGATAGAGGAGAGCAGCATGGAGCGGGGGATACAGAGGAGAAGGGTGAAGAGGAGTAGAAGTGGCAGTGAGTTTAGGAGAGATGGCAGGAACCAGGGGAGAGCAGCCTCCCCGCTTGTGACAGCAGCTGAAATCCAATCCACCAGAGGAAACAGGAGATGACACTCCCATGAAGGCAATGTGCAGAGAAACGCAGGAAAAGAGATAAAACTGACAGGAAAATATCTAAATGGAGTGTATGAGACAATCACAGCTAGAGGGTGATGTGCAGACTGTTTGGGCGTTTGAGCTTGTCAGAAGCAGGGATCAATAGGAAACTGTTTGGATGGTTTCGGTCAGTGTGGGTGGGCGATGCAGCCAACAAACAGCACTTGGTTGCCCTTGTTTACAGTTGTGTCCCAGTTACCAAAACCCATAGCTGACACACATAATCTAGCTGTGTTGTGCACAAGAAAGACAACAACACCACAAAAAACAGGAACTTTTTTTCACTCTGAAATACACTGATTTTACTTCTGCACAACTGTGACATTTCAGCGGTTTTCAATTGACCAAACAGTTTTTTCTTTTTTTGAAGGTCTGCAGTAATTAAATATTTCAGTAAACAGTTATTCTCGCTATTAATCATGTAGTTCAACCCATATTAACAAAATGAAGCCCATGCTTCAACAAATTGATGGCAGGATGAGTTATTTAACAAAATTTAGCTATTGTTGGGCCTCAGGGTTGATATTAGTTATTTCATACCCTATTCTGATTTTGAGAGAGCAGGTTGGCGTATTGTGTGTATATATAATGCCAAAATCATGTGTTGTTATTTTTTGCATTTAATGAAATAAAACAGTTGGAAAAATTGAACAAATTGCTGAACTTTAAATGAACATTTTCCCAAATTAATGCAGACAGTAAGTTATGTGGCAAAACACAGAACACTAGTGATCTGGATTTGAATGAAGTATTTAGTTACATTAGTTAAGTTATAACACCTTAATACAGTCCGATAAATGATAAGAATGTCCCCTTGTGTTCTATCAGTTTCCAAAAACATCTATTGTATCAAACGAGATAAATATATGTATTTGTAAAATTTTAAGGACGTTTTGACTTTTTTCGTTTTCAGTACTACGTGAAATAAACATTTCAGCTCAAAAAAAAAAATACATATATATATATATTTCCTGGCCATAATTTGTGGTTTCAGGCATTAAAGGGCTAATTTGTTTTCCTCATAAATTGGGAAACACAACAAAAATTTAATGCATTACTGCTTAAAGCAGGTCTATGCAGTTTGTAGTTATATTTGGAGGTACCATGCATTTACCAATCATGTGTAAAGACTTGGCAGCAAAAGCAAGACAGAAAAACAGAATCATCTGCAGAGAGCCATGTTTCTGCCTTTAAGTATTCTACCTTTGCCTTTTAGTAAAAAAAAGAAAAAAAAAGATACTGTTTCTGATATGTAACAAGTAATACTCTCTAGCTTTAGCTTCATGCTTGTTTTTGTTCCTTTAATGTGTTTTCCAGACCTTGACACACCAGTTCTGACGGTGCACCAGACCATCAGCGATGTGCGAGGCAGTTACTACCAGGAGAAGACGGTTTTCCTGCGCTGCACTGTCAACTCCAACCCACCTGCACGGTTCATCTGGAAACGTGGGAGCATGCTCATCGAACAGAGCAAGGACAACGGAGTGGACATTTATGAGCCCCTTTACACTCTGGTACACAGCAGCATACACACAGAGCAGACAATCTTCCAGATGTGCAGTCAGTGGTCACTTTCTCTGCCCTGAAATACCTCAGAGAGTCCTTCACACTGTGTTATACGGTTCCTTAGTCCAAGTCAGAGTTAATCCCTGTCTTGAGAAAAATCTACCCATCACACTACATCTCATCAATCATTTACTATTTTTGCCTGAAATATGGTGATTATATGAACCCTGTGTCAGCACAAAAGCTGTGACAATAATGCATCGGATTGGCTGTTCACTGAACTCCCCCTCCAACAGCAACAGCTTTAACTTTAACACGGTGAGGCAGGTCTGTCAAGCTGTGAATATCTCCACATGCAGACGCTGAGTGCATAGGGCCCTGCTGAGAGTGACACTATGTGTTTGAAGAGTTTAAAGTGCTGTGTCACATCCTTTGAGTCTTTCACAGCCGAAAACATGAGATTTAATTTGCAAAGAACATATAAAACATTGTGTCTATGCAGGAGCTAGCATGCTAGACCAAGTCTGGGAAGAATCCAGCAACTGCATTTTTTCACTGCTGAGAAATAAACAACTACCAGTCCATTTATGTAAAGTTAGCAGTGTCAAAAAGTTAGCTACCTTGTTGGCCTGTTGTTGGCTTAATTACCTTGCTAACTGCAGATGATGAAACCTGTTTGACAGAAGTTATTTCAGGTGTTCTGTGACGTTGAGTTTAATCCTCAGACTAATCATAGAGGCTTATACAGGTTAACTTTTAATTTGCTCTGATACAGAAGTTTTATTGGGTGCCAAATAAGCATGAACGGATTTCTATGGGTTGTTTTAATGCTTGAAACTCAAAAAAAAAAGAAAAAAAAAAGACATTAACAGGCCAAGAGAGTCTTTCAGATTGTTGTAATTCCAACGTTTCAATCTAGAGTATTTTTTATTTTCAGACTTTTTTTGCCTCCTTAAAAACACAGCAACAGATCTTAATGTTCTTATTCTATAGATGGTTTCATGCAGAAACCTACGTGTGCTCGAGAATTTCCAAGAACTCCCTGAGCAGCAGTGTCCACTTCCTGTCTGGTCCAAATGCTGGTTTGAATCAGGATTTTTTCTTTGTTACATAAGCAGATCAAGATCAAGACTGTGGCTTTGCTCTACTTTTGCTTTTCATCTGCTGGGACAACAGATACACAGATCAGCTTTTCATAAACAGTTGACCATGTCGCCTACTAGTCAGTCAGTCAGGACTTTATTGGTTGCACTGCAGCAGCCAGAAAGTCAACTGAATAAAAAAGAATAAACTGTCCCCAAGCCTGAGCCAGTCTAGACTCACAATAGTTGCATTAGCACAACTGCTCCATTTTTCTCCACTTATCAAAGCGTCTGTCAGCCACAGAGAGGAGCCCCTCGAGTTCAATTAGCCGGCCAGCAGAGCTCTTCCCGGGGTGAGCCCCTCACCTCCTGGAGCCGACAGTTACACAGTATCAGACACAAAATCAGCAGAGGAGTTAAAAGAGATGTGACTGCTTCTGTGTGTGTCCGAGAAAAGGGAGAGCAAGAGAGAGAGGGAATATGTGTGTATGGGTGTATGTGAAGCCCACAGAGTGACATATTTGAGTGACAGTGTTTTATGAATCCCCAGGGAGAGGATGAATGGATTTAGCTGTGGTTGTTGCACCGACAATCAGATCAGTGTCATTTTTTAACAGTCTCGTATGAAAGACATTTCAAATTCATCATTCATTTTGCTCCATATGAAGAAGTGGGACACTTCAGTTGATAACAAGGGCATGTCAGGCATACAGAGACTGTATATGTTTATGTGCATGCTGGGTTTGTGTATATTTGTGTTCATCTTAGTGTCTCTAATCACACTGCTGCTCATGAAAAATTAAGATGACTTTTACACAAGATTACAACCCAGTTTAGAAAAGACCACTTCAAAAGTCTTTGAGCCTTCATACTGATGTAATGTTATGTAATATGAATGTGATGGGTTCATTA